AATTTTCCTCTCAAACTGCATGGTGACTGATGATAGCACACAACTGTCTGACCTTAATACGCAAAGATTTAGCTGACACCTGAAAAGAAGATCAGGGAGCTATTGTAGTTATAGACTAAAGCCCTTCAAGGAAATGCAAGTTAACCAATCAGTCTTCAATTTTCAAAAAATACTTGGTTTATCATAATATCAGTATACCAGACAGTGACATTCTAAGATCATGTCTGAAACTAGCTGTGGGAATGTAAGAGCTAGAAACTCTTCCAAATGCTCTTTTCTCTTTCCCTCCCATCCCCACATTGAAATATAAAAAGCACATGGCTGAGAATTTGCTTGGAGATCTGGACTTAAACCAGGATAGAATAGATTATCTTCATTAAAAAGATAGCCTGGTGTCAGTAATGTTCCAAAAGTCAAATATATGCTGTTGGCTCAGCCACACTACCTCTAGTCTAAGGGACAAGAGTCCTCCAACCTTTTTGGCCTATCAAAGGTTTCCAGTCTGGTCGCAGATGGTGCTCTCAGCTGCACATATGGTATACCTGCAATAAGAGCAATCAGGTACTACAGTTCAGCTGCTGAAAGGAGAGATCCAGACCATCATTAAAGTAGGAGACATGTTTTTTTCAGGCTGTGCATCAATGGGTTTTGTCTTATTGTTTAAAAAGTTTGGTGTATAATTAATTTAACCACATATATCCATTATAGTGGTGTCATATGCCTTCTAATAGTTTTTTAACAATTTGGTGTGTGGAAATCTTTTCAAATAAAAAAGCCTGATGTTAACTGTTTTGCTTTGGCTTTTAGCAGCAAGCAAAACAGAATTACACTTCTTCCAGGATGGGGATTGTGATGACAGGGGAATATTTTCTTCAGAATAGGAATACTGGTAAGTATTCCTAAGTAAATATACTGGTAAGTATTTACTAAGTAAAACTGAAAAAAAAACCACCAAAACAAACCAAAAATACACCCCCCTCCCCCCCAAAAAAAACCAACTAACAAAAAAACCCAACAAACAAACCAGGAACAGAAATATACCCCACCAAATCACATTTTATGAAAAAGAAATTCTTATTTCAGTGGTTAGTGGAGTTTTTTTGTTATAAGACCAAATTAAAAAACACCCCAACCAACCTCAAACAAAAAACACAAACAAAAAACCCAAACCAAATTACTCTGTGAATATGCATAGATTAGACAGCAATGCATCTAAGACAATCTAGAAAATATAATCAGGCACGCCTGCCTATCATATGTTATAGTAAAATAAGAAAGACACACTCTGCTATTTAAAGTATATAATCTAAAGAAAATCTCCATGGGGACAGATTAAAATCAATCATTTTATTCTTATACACTGTGCTCATGTTCTGTATGTGGCCAAGAAAAAAATAGTAATATAAGCTTACCTAGACCTTTTATATCTTTGAGCCAGATTTAATAGAATATCTCAGTAATTAGTCCACCGTGTGAGAAATTTTACATATAGTATTGCCAGCTACAGCATTAATCTATGTAATGCCTTTCATATGAAAAAAAACACACTAAAAAATCTTAGGATATTAGGGATTAAAAGTCATCTCACAGATGTATAGGATTTCTCCTCTGGAGTTTCACTGTACAGCAAATTCTAATTCTCAGTATTTTAATGCTGACTGCAATACCAGTGTTGTATACTAAGTGCCCTAAAAGATGCAGGGAAACAACTAAAATAGTCCTGTGCTTCAAAATCATATTGAGCTTTCCTTGGCTTCTGATTACACTTAGAGCCAACCTAGACTACCTCTGATAGTGGGCCTCTGAGGATTCCTGTAAATCAGTAACATACGTAATTCATTCGAATTGCAAATTCTGCAAGCATGTTACATTCTGAAACTCAAGGCACAGCTTATTCTACTGAGAGGTTCTACAGACATCAAAAAAAAGATGCAGTAAAGGGATGGAGAAATAGGTTTGCATGATTTTTGTTTGTACGATTTATTTCCTTAACTCTGGAAATACAATATTTAAACCAATAATGTACTCATTTAAATATTTGTGGATCTCACTATATGAGTACGATAAGCTCCACAGAGATTAATTTTTCTATGCAAAAAAAAAAGCATTTCAAGACAATGGCAGAAAAAAAATAGAAAAGAAAGATTTTAATTGTTAATTTCTCATTAACAACATTTAACATTGTGTATTTGTTCTATGACTCATTGTACACCAAGGTACAGAACACTGCAATTTTCATCAACATGGCAAAATAGTGGAGTGACTTTCAGCATTCACATCAATTTCTCATATCTTGCCCAGGCAGGAATTTGTTGAAATCTATGATTTCTGAGGAGCAGTAAGGGTGAATTAACTTAGTGCTTGGTCTCAGCCGCACCCCTGTGTTGTGACTAATACCCACCCATTTTCAGGGAGCTAGCTGTATCTCACTGAAGGTTGTCTGCAATAACAGAATAATACCTATAATACACAAAACAAAAGTTCTTTTAATAGCTTTGTATAGAGAGGCTGTTGGATACTAAGCCTCTTTATTACTCCTGGTTATAGCACTGTTCTATCAATGCATAGACTCTCTGCTACGCAATATTACCCATAGTGCAAGTGCATGCAAGTCATTTACCCATAGTGCATTATAAAAACATCAGTGGACTGAATGGAGCCTGCCCCACCCAATGTGCTCTGATGCAAGGCAAGGAACGGCAATGTGAGAGAGGACTGGCAGGGTTTCGTGGGAGTCTCCTTAAAGTATGGTTCATTCGAACAGCCTGAGTGAAAGAGACCATTGCTCCTGTGTCTTTGGCAGATGTACAGGGTGTTTCCTTCTTCATTATGTGGAAAATGGAGCATGACACTTGATGCGGATAAAGAATATCTGTTCACCCAGCATCCTAAAAAATAGGTGTTGACAATCAAGACTGCATTGTTACTCTTTATGGAAATTGTCATTTTTATTGCTGGTGCTGCTGATCACTCAGAGAAACAGGCAAATAGCAATGTAGTTATAATATTCAGCATAGCTGAGTAGTTGGAATATGGGCCTTCTGGGGTCTCGTCTCTTGCTTGTGGATGGGATAGTAGCTTTCTCTGCTATTTACCTACTCTCTGCATGGTTTTAGAAGTCTGGTCCTTCTTCACTGGCACTGTGTCACATTGATATCAGCTGGTATGAAGATTCATATGGTAATATCTTTCATAACTCCATCTCATTGCTGGAAAGTGGTTTAACAGTGAACTCAAAAGATGTGTTAAAGGCAGAGATTTGCTAACATTGCTACAAGCAAAAACTCATTTTTTTTACGAATGGAAATGAATTATGCAAACATTTTCCTTTTACTCAGTCTGGTCAAACCACATTTTTATCTCTAACTTTCTCAGGTTACACTGCCGTAAGCAACAACCTTGCCCAATGGTATTGCCTCACAGAGCTGTCACTCAAAGGCGTTGTTTAACTCGTTATTCTTCATTCTGGTGTGAAGGAAGGTTAAACAGTCAGTCAGGTTAGGTATACTAATATGGTATATTAGGAAGAAGAAGAGAATATATAGAAGCTATCAACTTCTAAGTTGCTGATACGGAACAAAACACCAGTGTCAACAGTTAACATTCCAGCTTGCTACCACAGGCAGAAAAGTTTTTATTTTGTTTATCTTACCACTTTCCTCTTAAAAATAAAAATAAAGGCACATATTTCATATTTCTCCAGCCATAGAAATGCTGAAGAAAAATGCAAGAATCTAAATTTAACTTTTCTTGGAAAATTATGTGTGTTTGTCTGTCTGTTGACAGACACAGCTATTCCGTTCATATTGGCTAGACCTGAGATTCCCTGGTATTCCTAATCTTTGCTCATTCATTAGTCAGCTGCCTGAGAACACTGACAGACCACAATGCCCCACTAATGGAGTGCTATTCTTCTATAAATCAGATATGACAATTTAATGTTAATATTTATTATTGCATTTCAATTTTAAGCATAATTCTTGAGAAGTATATTTGACATCTAAGAAAAAATTACTTTTACAAATATATGTGAGGAGGCCTCAAATAGGTTTATCAGTATGTAAGAGAAGACTGTTCCCTTGTGATTATGGTCAGGATCTGCAGGTTGCATAGAAAAAGACAGTAATGTTCCTTATCTTTCTCTCACATCTCTTTAGCAGCAGCCTGCACCCTAAGGTGGGACAAAGCAAACCAACCTGCTTTTTTCTGATAGGTTTTCCATAACTGTTCATTTATTCTTTAATTGAACGCCTTTGAAAATCAGTCATAGAATCTGGCCTCCTGCTTTCACTTATATTAACCCCTAAGTACAAAGAAAGTCTCAAACTATAAATGACTGTAGATGCTGAATGTTTTAATTTTTGAGACCCCACCCTGGCTGCCTGCCACCCATCAAATATGGCCACATCAGGATGTGTATCAGAAACAAAAAAGAATTCTATACACTCACGATAGTATTTTATATTCTATATGACAAAAATTATTTTAAGAATACAGGTGCAATTTAAAGACAATTTTAAGATGTCAAAGCCAGGATACATGCTATTTCTATGGAAAATCCAGTAGGAAACCCACAGTTTTTGGCAATGTATATATCTTCTTTTTTTTTTTTTTTTGTGGCATCATGATTTCTTCTTTGAGGCAGAATCCTCTGGTAAATTTATTTGCTTTGCAAGTTTGGGGTTTTGTTTCAGCAAACAGAATTTAAGATTTCAGAGAAGAAGTAAGTAGTAGGGACATGAGAATTTGAGCAAAGGTCTGAGTTTTCAACAAAGGTATTCCTAAATAAAACAATGGTAGGCTAAAAAGAAAGTAGGACTTGCTTATCCCATTTTTAGTCACTTATTAGTTAGAATAGTTAATGTTTAAAGTCCAACTGAAGTTCTCTCCCCTTTAGTTCACTGCTTCCTAAAACCAAATTGATAACTTTGGAAGATTTCTGAACTCGGTTTTCTGAGAAAGAACTCAAGGTTCTTACATTACTAGAACACCAAACTTACTTTCTAGTCTTTCACCAGAAGCCACATTCATCAGTCCTTTGATCATTCCTTTGTACAATCTTTCTTGTTCATCTTCTAATATTGTATTTCTTGACATGACAAGAGTGTCATGCCTGAAATACTCATTAACCTGTTGATCTGTGGAAACTCAATCCTGTTTTCCTGAAAACTCACAGACTTTTTGTAAAACTTGCAGAGACTTCTCCTAAAAGACCCTAATTTGTCACACATTTTTAAATGTTTACAAAGACAGGTACACAATTTTTCAGCTGGTCCCTAGCATTTGGACGCACATCTTCCTAGATTAGCAAGACAGCTTTTGGAAAGTAATTAACTCTATTTAAAGCTATACTCATTCATTTGTGGTTATCTTTCTGCTATGTAAACAGCTTAGGTCTTTTAATATGTCTTTCATATCTGTGGGTTCTTTTTTTTTTAGACTTTTTTAACACCTGAGAAGCTGAAAACAGAGGGTTTTCCTCTTCACATTTTTCACTCAGCTTATTCAATATAATAGTGGTCTGGCTCCACCCTTCCATTCTAAACAACTGTGTGCCATAATGTACCATATATGAACATTTTTTTTTAAACTAAATAAATATTATATCCTAAAAAATTACCTTCATCCATGGTAATCAGTCTGTTTCTCAGGGCTAGTGTTTTCACGGAGATGAGATTAACTTCTGGTATTTTCTGAAAGCCTCCCACACTGTGCACATAAATATTTAACCTGCAAAAAAATGCAAGAGCTTCACTAGGCAACAAGACACCTGTAGAAAGTAAAATGAGAGACATGGATCAGGTTTCTTCTCACTGATTCCTATGGCAGGAAATGTTGGTTTTACCAGCAGATCAGAATTTACTAAACGAAAACAAATGCTGTTGAAAGGCTGATGTTATATATCTGAAAGAAAAATACCCCCAAGGGGTATTTTAGAAGTGTTTCATTAACATATTTTACAAACCTCCACTCTTCCCCATTTCAGAAGAAACAACGTGAAATACTATTCTTTTGCTACATTTCCAGTAGTGGTGAAACTGGTAGAGTTGCAAATGGTGTTTTATGCAACTTCAGCCCTAATTTCATATCAGCTGAGTTACTATGTGGTTCCAGATGAAACTGTTGCCACATTAGAGCAAAGTTTGCCCTGCTTTTTATGATTGCTTCACATAAGTGTATGACCATTTTCCTTCTTTGATAATTAAAGGTAAAAACCCACACTTCTGTCATTGCCAATGCCATTGTTCTGTGACTGGCCTCAGCTGAGACAGGCAGGTTATTTTGAACTGCAAATCAAATATGCTGTTCTCTTGGAATAACTCCAGACACAAAACTTCTGATATATTCCTATATTATTATGAACAATACAGCAGCAGAAACTGGGAGAAGCAAGTATTATTCTGCAGTTGCAAAAGCAAATACAGAATAAAGTGTTCGCAGGCTGGTGTGATCCACCCTCAGCAGGTGGGAACAGTGGTTCAGGATTTCTACCTCACTGCTATTGTTCTGCACTCCACCCTTATGTCAAAAAGGATTAAAACCAGGAGCTTGCCTTTAGACTGCAGTCCAAAAGGAAAGCTTTTGGTATCACTAACTCAAGAAGTAGTTTCATTGTGGGTTTATAGGAAGCAGCTTCATTGTGAATCTTTGTACAAATAATTGACAACTAATTTAACGTTGACAACTGTTTTCTCTAGTCTGCTATTTTGAATATGTTATATCTTCATTGGGCTGTAAAGAATATAGCATGACATGAAACCTAGATAAAAGGCTTCTCTGATAGAGTACTTTTCTTATAAAAAATGAATTCTTTTGTGATTTTTCTTTTTATAATAACAAAAATATAATGGGGTGCTTTTGTCTACCCCCATCTTTTCCTCTTACCACATCAGTAAAAAAAAAAAGGAATAAGGAATACAAAAAGGGAAAAGAAATGAGAAAAATCAACTATCTTAACAACTGAAGGTGTTGGATTTTAATTACTCACAATCTTTTATTTTATTAAAATTAAAAACATATTTGACAGATTATGTATCCAAATCTTTTTACAGTAATAAAATTATGTATGACATATGATTAGCACTACAACTATCGCTAAAAGAAGAAACTTACAAAAAACAAAAAAAAAAAATTACTGTTCTCCAAGTTGTATTTAAATAAGATATTTTAGGCTCTTCAGTTTTTTAATATTCACTGTAATGTTTATTACTTTGTTTGATATTTTAAGGAGTGTGTAGTAGTCCTAGTCTTGAATTAGAATGTGACCATGCTAGCTATTGAACAAACATAATAAAACAGATTAGTAGTGCCACACATATCTTAAGGTCATTTCTTTCAGTACTTTTGTTCTGATTGATATTCTTCCTAATTTTACATTAAGAAGAATCTCTACCTGACAAACCTGCTTTACATTTTTACTTAAAACACTCTTCGAGAAAAGCCTATAGTAATCAGTTACACTTCTTTTTTTTTTTTTTAATCAACATAATTGAGACTTACTGTTTTATTCTTGTCTCTAGTATTTTCTTATCCATAATACTTCATGCAAAATTACGTGAAGATAAATCTCATGTTCCTCTTTGTGTATTCCCATTTACTCTGATTCTCTTTAGAACCTCGTAGCAGCTTCAGGGAGAAATAATTTATTGTAGTATAGAATTGGGCCTCATTTGAAATGTCACATCTGCACCTTTCTCTTAGGAAATGCAGATGTAAACCCCAGCTCTGAGTTTTGTATCTTTAGGCAGTTTTATAATCGGACAAATTACAACAAATACAAACATGCTTTTATGTTTCTTCTATTTGAAATAGTAACAAGCTTAAACTCTTTAAAATTTCTCATTAATAATTGTAACTTGCACTATGCCACCCACTGTGTCCTGGTGGTATTTCTTCCCAAACCTCAACAGTCTTGAGGCAACCAAATCTAGCGTAAAAGTGAAGCAAAAGAACAGTTTTCTGAGGTTTTAGCTGGAAATGCAACAAGGAATTCCTATTCAACATCACAATAGAGAAAGCTGTAGGAAATCTCCTGGATATAAATTTTATTACTGACTGTCATCAATAAACTTATATTTAAATTGATGAAAAAATAATATACCACATAAAATGGTGGAGGTAAAAAAAAAAAAAGGACGCTTTCAAGTGGAATACTGCAGTTAATATTTTTTGCTATCAGTACTTTGCTTCTGTGAAGGTTTGAGGTAAAAGCACATGAAGAGTTTCATTTTTTTTCTGAGATGAAGCTGTTCTAATATTCCATAGAAGTAAATCAGTTTTGCAATCACTGACTAACTGAGAATTAGTTCTGTCTCCTAATTTTGGCAGGTAAGCTGTTGAGTGAAATAGTAGCACCCAAGCTGTCTCAAACAACCTTTCCTAAGCACAAAACCCCCCTACTGGTAATGGAAATGAGGTATTACAAGAGCAAATGGAATGTACAGTTTCCTCAATTTGTTATGACTATTCTTACCACACCCTGAATGTAGGCAATGAGCAAAACATGATTTACTATTATTCACTTATTATGTGATTCCTGTTTCTGCATGGTAATGGGACCCAAGACAGGGCTGTGCCACTCTGAACAAATATCAGCTTGACTGAGCGAATTCTGAAGCTTCAGAGTATGATACTTGCTCTTCGCTGTAAATAGGGAGTAAGAAATATTATTTTAACCTGGATGTTTTTTGTCAATAGATCTGCTCACTCCTATAATTCAACATACTGAAACAACCAAAGCAGCACAGTTTGCTAAGGAGATAGTTGTAAATATAATAATATATTTATAATATTTATTTATAAACATAATATTATTTTTCTTAAAAAAATAAAAAAAAGGGACGTGCCACAGCCCGAAGAAGGAAAGGGCGATGACAACACAAGGGGTTCTTGCTCTGTAGCAGTTTTTTATTGGTGCAAAGACGCAAAGAGGTACAGAGATGAGTGTGCTGTCCCCGCCTGAGGGGAGAGCTAACACTTATATAGGGTCCAGGATGGAAGGGGCTAGAACCTGGGAGGAGCATGAGACTGACAGGGTTTGACAACCAATGGGGGTTCTACAATAAGAATGACGTAATCAAGAACCAATAACAAGACAGAAGGGATGTGGCAGGACCGCCCATACTGTGGCAAATTCTGACCAATGGCGAAGAGGGGATTCTTAACCAATCAGGGAAAAGGAAAATCATGAGGGGACAAACATCTTAATACTATATAATAAATATAACTGGGGTACATATTTTTTGAAAAAGCATGCATTAACAATGAACAGTAAAGCATCAACCAAACTACACAAAACATTGTCTTTGACTGTGATTCAGGCCTAAATGGCCTGCAAACGTCTCTGTTATTAGTAAAGTTCTTTCTAGCATTTCTCATAGACAGCACGCCATTTCTTGAACTGCTGACGTTTCTTCCTCTTGTCCTCCCCAGGGATGCACAAGAAATGGCAGTAGACATAAAGCTACTTTGAAGGATCTAAGCCATTTCAGAATGTCAAATAAACTGGGAAACCCCAGATGGTTAAATTTAACTTGCATATTGCAATAGCAAAGGTGATTCATCTGCTGATTAACTTTTTGCTAGTTAGTAGTGCTGTCTCTTCTTTCTTTGAAATTACAACAACATAATTGTGGACCAGGGTTCAGTCTTTTGTAAATCATGGAACTGCTCATCCTGCCTCTTGGTCTCAGTGGAAGACACTGCCCAGTTTCACTAGTCCTAAAACAAGGCCCAGCACTGCTCCTGCGTGTACTATTTGATTGGGGATTTTGTTGTTTTTGTTTTGTTTTGTTGTTTTGGTTTCGTCATTTTGGTTGGTTGGTTGGTTTTGGTTGGAGTTTTTTTATTTGATTTGGGTCTTGTTTGGTTTGGTTTGCTTTTTGTTTCTGTGTTGTTTTATTTTTTTTTCCTCAAGACTTTTCTCAGTCAAGGGCACTGACCTTTCCACAGCATTAATAGTACAGTTCAATTGTTTAAAGAACCACTCTGTCATTTGTGTTGCCTTCCCTTGCATGACACTTCTGTTACTATTTACATTCTCTGATTAGCATTATACACTTCATAGCAGATAAAAAGCTTAAACATTCTGAATTTGT